GAAAGCACTGCTGCGTGCAGGAGACTTTGCGCAAGCGTTTGAGGACAGCACCTAATCTGTTTTTACAGTTGACGCTCTTTATAGATGTTGTCTCAGTTTGCAGCAGGGCTGGTTAGTGGCAAACAAAGATGAAGCTCTCATGAACTAATCTGTAGACCTCAGTGACAGGCAGGGCTCAGCGTGATCCAGGAGTGCTGTGCAACACGTTTGACTGATCCTGTGGAGAAATGGGGTGTGTATGTGTTGCTGTGAGAGCAGGTGTCGATGTGCACATGCTAGAGCATCCCACGGTCTCCTGGTCTCTCAAGCTCTTTCAAACAGCTTAAAGAGAAATTTGCTTGTCTGGGTTCTAGTAAGCTGTGCTAGAAGGAAAATAGCTCATGAAGACCTCAGTCTTTCATCTCTCCTTTCTCTTTTTGCCTGCAGCCTGACCCACCAACTTCCAGTAAGTGGCAGCCTGGCAACTGCCTAACCAAGGTAAGCCCACCCTTCTCCCTGCAACCCATTTAAAAGCAGCACAGTATCTGAAATGCCTGCTAGAGTGTAGTCATTTGTGCTACCCGTTTAATGTCTGTTGTGGGAGAGCACCTTGTCTGCAGTTTGGGGGGGTGCCCAGAAGAACTAAGCCAGCCATCCCAGTTTGTGCTTTTCAGTTTTGTCCATGGGTGCCCCTTCTGCTGCCATTAGCCAAGTAACCTCAGTCTGAGTAGCATAGCCTTTTCCTGTGTGGAGTAGTCTGAAACAGTTGTGATTGCTCGCTTACACAAAGAGAAAGGAATTCTGCAGGCTTGAACTGTGTTATTCCTTAGGGGCGATGGTAGAAGCTTTGTGCCTTTTGCTTTTCCATAAATGCAGGCTTTTAACTGAAGCAGGTTCACTGACAGTAACAACCATCCCTAAACCCTGCTTTGGATCTCAGTGCTTGGATAAATACGTAGAAGGTTTCTTTGGCTTTCCCTGGAGCTGTCGTGGTTCTAGCAGTAATGCTAAGGCTGAAAAGACACGTAGCACCACATTCCGTTTGTCTGCTTTTCCCAATAAAAGCCTCAGAATTGCCAGTGCACCACTATCTGAGCCAAATCCAACAGAAGCAAGTCTAAGCACATTCCAGCCCTTCCTGCAGGTCTGATCACTTCAGTTGCAATCTGGGAGAAGCTCAATCTGTCACTTGTGCACAGGAGCTGCACTGAGAGAGGGGCTCCTCTTAACCTATCAGGAAAGTGGTCTTATCCTGAAGCAGTCCATAGCTTTAGCACCCAGAAAAGCCCCGTGAGCAGAGGTGGGTCCCAGACACCCCAGACGAGCTGTGCTGCTCATCTGCGCCTTCCTTATGTTTTGCCAGTGAAGTCACTAATTCCTCAAGGAGTGCTAGACAAACACTTCAAGGTTAAGCAGGTAAAACTCTAATTATGCTGTTAACAAGGGCTATAGAATTGATCAATTCTAGAAGGGGAGCAAAGGGCAGGAAAAGTCTGATGATGCAGCATAGACGTCACAGGGACACCTGAGCCATGAGAGGATTTCAGGTCTCCTGTCCTGGCTGCATTCAGACAGCGGGGAGGCTGAGGCAAGAGGCTGTATTAAGCAGCCTCTGCATTTTATCTGCATTCACCTCAGGCGCTGACGCTCTCAAAGGTTCCTTGGCTTCACTGCCACTTGTCTCTGAGTCTGAAGAGCTGTCTGAGTCACTGGTGCTCCCTGAGTCACTGGTGCTCCCTGAGTCACTGGTGCTCCCTGAGTCACTGGTGCTCCCTGAGCCACTGGTGCTCCCTGAGCCACTGGTGCTCCTCGACTCCGAGCTGCTGGAATGTGCTGATGCTACAGTCTTGGGCTGGGACTGTTGGACACTGCAAGGCCACCATGAGATAAAATTAGAAAGCAGCATAGGTGAAATTTCTTATTATATTGACATGGCAAGATTCAAAACTAAAACGGAAACCCCTGGTTTGGTACTGAGACGAGAAAGGATAAGGCCAAGGAATACAGTGCCATGCTCAAAAGATAAAGCACCGGAATAAAAAAACCTCTAGAAGTAATAAAACCTCCAACTCTATAACCAGGTCAGAGAAATCTCTGAGCAGGACTGCTGCAGTCTGCAGCTGCATTTAGCCAACCAAAGTTTAAAAAGGAACCAAAACTGGCAAGTGCTCTTCTGAAAGCCTCATCCCTCAAAAGAAAAGGGTGCCATAAAGGCTAACGACACAGAAACATCCACTCCAGGATGGTTTCTCTTTTCTATATTCTTCCCATAAACTTTTCAATTCATCTGTGTTACTTGGGCAAGGTGCTGGAACTGCTTCTTTAACAACCACGTCAAGCAGCAGCAGTTTTTGCAAGACTCTCCTCTCTTCAGGAGTGTTTTCCTCCAGCACTGGCAACAGGAGTGAATGGAACTGAGGAAGAGCCATGACTTGGATGCAGTCCTTTGTTTCGAAATGGGCTTGTGAATATTTTTTTTTTCTCTTTGAAATTTGTTCCATACGTCAGAATCAACACATTTGTATGGATTGGAGGCAAGTTTCTTGAAAATCTTGAAAATTCTGTGCTTCTCCACTTCTTGTAATACTGGCAGGTGGCCGTTAAGTCTACCCTAAATATTGCTTCTGACTAACAATACATGGCAGGAACTACTTATAAGGAGCTGCCTTATCAGGAGGAGCTGAAACAGCCTCCGTGAGTCTACCCAACGCTTTTCCGTTCTTCACCTGCTTGGCTGTTTTGGGCTTCCTTCTAAACTAAAACTGGACTCACACCTCACCCAGCACTACTACAACTGAGAACCCCCTTGGCTCCAGGGTGATCTTCAGATACTCTGGTGGAGGGCAAGAGAACTTGGGGAAATATAATTCTGGTTGATAAGAAAAATCCAGCATGCCTGGATTATTCATTTCTCATTGGAGCTTTCTGTAAAACCCCACACAACTAACGCCAATTTTCAACAGCAGCTTCGGGCAGCTAGACACCAAATCCTGTATCTACAGGAGAAACAAGGAACCCCTTACCCATGCACCCCATATATTAAGACGTAGTTTGTTTTTCCCTTCTTATTTAGTCTAGCTGTTAGTTCAAGAACAAAGCTGTACCTTGGAGGAGCAAGTGGACTGTCAGCAACCTGTTTTGTTCACAAAAAAGAAGGAGGAGAATGAGAGTAAAGGTTAGCTTAAGGCATTCGGAACAACGCAACAAGGCCTGATGATTTAAAGGGATGTCTGCGCGCCCAGCGTATAAAACATCTAAAACCGACTTGGTTGTCATCGCTGTCTTCGCTATCACTGACTTGCAGGTCTTCCTGGAGCAGCACTCTGAAAGACAACCAGAAGATAAGTATCAGCCAAGGCAGACGTACTTTCAAGTACCAGACACTGAAAACGACTTGGTTTGTGCTTGCCAAAAGAAACCAACCTCCCACATTCTTTAGGAATGTTTGGCATTCTCTATCTGCTAAACCCTGCCGTTAATGAATGATAAAATGGTAACACACAATCTAGGAACATTATATTGTACTTTTCAACTAATCTCAGGACATTTTGAAAAGGATGTCAGTATCATTGGCTGCCATCTACACACAACAAAGATGAAGCTCTGTGAGAGGAATGCTCCTCGCTTAAGTTTGTCCAGCGCACTAACGCAGCAGCACAGGGTGGAAGAACTCTGATCCTTGTACATTAAGAGACTGGCGTGCTATTGGGCTGCACTGAGTCCCCAAGGACAGAAAGCATCATCAATTCCACAAATCAGATGTGACAAATCCACTCTTGTCCAGGGAGCAGGACGGCGCGAAGAAACCCCAAAGGTCTCCTGTGTCTACCAGTACAGAGCCAACCCTTGCCACACAGATGATGCCTGTTGAAAAGGTACCAACCCCACAGTCCCCCAGTACCTTACCCTGATGCACAAGAGGTTCTCTGCGCACACAGACTTTGATTACACCCAAAGGCCTACCGTGCTCTCTTTGCATTTGGCCTGTGCCATTGCCCTGTGGCTGTCCTCCTCCATCCCCCCGTCTCCTCTGCCTCGTTTCCTCACACACCTTTTCAGTGGAATTCACCTCTTGCCTCTTCTTTTACAGGAAACACTGAAGGGAAGCGCTATGAGACACCACCTTGGAAAACGAGGCCCCTGAACTTCCTACAGAAGGCAAACGGCACACAGTCTGCAGCAACCCTGCACGCTCCAACTTCACACGTGGGCTAGAGCCGAAACTCGCTGCCAGTCCACCGAGACACAAAAGGGAAAAAGCAAGAATAGCAACAACACAGCCACTTCTGGGCAGTTTGGACAAATGTCTACCGGCAGCTCTATGAATTCTTTTCTTTTCCAACTCGTTAAGGGAAACAGTTCTTCAAAATGATACTAAAACGTTCTGAAAGTGATTTTGGCTTGCTTTAAGAGTTGTGGGCTAAAGATACATTTCCCTTTGAGGTAGGAGGATAATGCAAAGAAATGTTACCTAGAGCTTCTTTTAAATCTGATTTAACTGCTCCTAATAAAAATGTCTGCCTTTTCACCTGAGCTGCTGGTAAATAAAATGCATCGGCATAAAAGAACATTGCAACTACTTTAGTTCAATTTAGGATCAAGGAAGAACACTAAAACTTGGAATAAGTCCTATTTCTGCAAGGACAGACAAAGCCAGTTTCCCCAAAACAAGGTTTCAACAAATTCTGAACTAGCCTCCTTAAAGACAATCAATCTGCTTCAACAACTAGACTGCCTTAATTAGCTCATGCCTTAACAGACGCCAAGTTTTCATTTGCAGGACCTGTTCTATTCCAGCTTAGATACACACCATCAATCTCCCTCCAAAGCTATATAAAAGCTCTGTTAGTGAGAGAAGGAGCACTAAAATCAGCATCGCTTGAAAGCAAAGGCTGGTCCTTCCCCGCCAGCTGGGCTAAAGATGCATCGCCGCAAATGAGTGAGACGTTTCCCCTTTTAAAAGAAGGGCTCTTCCATTCCAGCGCTGCCAGGTGCTAACTTCGGGCTGTATTCAAGAATGAAAGCCGTCTGGGAAACCCTTGCACGCACTGTAAAGCCGAATGCTTCATTTGGGCACACGAGCGCCCTGGGATTTCAGGGCTGCTTCTAATTAAGCAGCACAAGCGCTGTTTGTTTTCAGCCAGCTACACTTGGTAAGGCAAGCTACTCCAGGCAGCTGGATTTTCAGTCACGTGTGCTTTAAACAGCAAAGAAAGCAAGCCCTGTTGTGCGAGTGAAAACAGAAAAACAAAGAGGAAGGGATGCATCGGTTCAAGGGAAAGGTGCAGAGGAAGTCCCTGGGGAAATCTTTCTTGACTCCATTTTGGACATTAGCCTAAGCCACCCTCTTCCTCCCACTTCAGCTGTCTTTGCTGACTGTGGGTACACTGGCTCTGAAGAGCCCGCACGGACGCTGAGCAGAGAGGGGATGTTGGCGAAGGACAGAGGTACGTACCATGCCAAAGTTACAATTCTGGACCTCTGCGCTAAGAAAGGCGTATTTTCAGATTCTTGTCTACAGTAAAAGTCTCTTCTCTCTCTGCTGCCTGGAAAACTGACTCAGGCTCAAAAGGGATTTTTACAGGCAGCTGAGAAGAGCTGAAAAATATTGTCTATGGAGGAAGGCAGAGCCTGCAGCAGTTGAAACTAGTGCGTTTAACAGTGCAAAGAAAAGTCCCAGAAGTCATTCAGGAGGAGAAAGCTGGGGTGGAAGAAGGAGCAGCAAAAGAAAGAATGGATTAAAGCAGCAGCTAACTACTCAGGAAGACACTATCCCACGCTACCAGCCAGGGGAGGCTCCTCTGCAGAATGTCAGAACAGCACAAAAAGGGTTGAGTTTTACAGACCTTACAGAGCTTGAGTGCAAGACTCTACAATCTCAACCAAGAGATGGCAACTGAGTCTGGTAACTTACGATACTGTTGTCTGAGAACGAGGCAACGTATCCGAAGGTCCATCGTACTGTCCTGTAAATCAAAAGAGAATCAGTGGGGTTTATCTGCCTCACCGGTAGCGTATTTTACCCTATGGTCTCTGAGCATCAGATTAGAAAGTCACTTTCTTCCAGGACGTAACTGATTGCCATTGAGATTATTTATCACTCCAAATGGGGCTTCCAAATGAAATACTGTTTGTTCTCTGCTGAACTGCTGCCTTAATTTCTAGGTAAGGAATGCATACAGTCTCTTCAGCATTTTCTAAACTCATCAATGTTTAACAAAGCACAGGAAACCACGTCCCTTAATCAAGGTAAGCATTTGATGTTCTCAATGTATGACACTCAAAACCATCTGTCAACACACATAGAACAGTGTGCTTTCCTTTGGATTTCTACTTACTCTGGTTCTGTGCTACACATCCAACAGGCTGCGACTCCTAGAAAGAAAGCACAAGGTGCAAATTGAGAATCAAATACATCATCTCTCAATAGCACCGTATCAGTGATCCGATTTCCTTGTGTTTGTTACTGTAATCGATACTTTGAGCAACGTGACAAAGAATAACTCCGAAGTCTCCAATAGTCTAAGCTTGCCTGATGTAGCTTAGCACGGACAGAAGTGATGCATGGCAAGTAACCATCACACAATTCAAAATCCATTGTGACTTCTAAAGATAATTTCTCCTAAAAGCCTTTACCTATGAAAGGAGGTGCAAGAGTTGGAAAGCTCATCAGATGAAAGCACGTGCAAGAGTTGGAAAGCTCTCTTCTAATTTATCAAAAGCCTTGGCAAAAAGAGGGTGTTTACCTTTGTTGGTAATGGAAATTTGGAAGGCTCTGCAGTAGGAGGAGTAGGAATATCTGTCAGAAGAGGTGGCCATGACTGGGTCATTTCCTGGAAAGCAAATGACAGAAGTGGGTTACAGTATTTTTGCTGATCCAGGCAACTGAAGTTGTACCTCAAAGACATTTATATTCACGTACAATAAATAGCTGAGCCCATCGTAAACCCAAGAGGCAATACCACAGCAAGAAGCCCTCTTTGAGCTCAGCGAGCCAGACCGTCATGAGCACTTGCTCCTTTTCTCCAAGCATACTTGCATTGCCCAATTAGCAGCAATCTCAGTGAAGCTTGTAGAGAGTTAAATACTTCCTATGTTTGCATTAGGCTATCACAGTTAATAAAGGGAAAAGGACATAAAACCTGTCTACGAGTAGCTCTGGACTTTTTCAAAGTTCAGGAACTTCCTATTATGTTCCTATTACAGCAACAACACCCCCCTGAAAGGCTTTTCAAAACTCAAGGGGGTCAGCTAGGGAGCTCTGACTGCCAGCCATTCCTCATGCTATTCTACCTGAAACACTGCCTTTTGCTCTGACTGACCAAGATGCCTTTGCTGCAGAGCTCCAAGATGTGGTTTCAAACCAAAGAGAGCGACTGCCTGATGGGCTATGTCTTTAGGAGCCTTGCTGCCCTGTTGCCCTGCCCTAACTCTCACCCAGGTACCAGCTAGTTGGGCTAAGCCATGGTCCGGCTGAGAGCAGAGCACACAGACCACAGCCAGGAGATAGGGATCAACCTCCAACCTGCCTCTTCTGGCACCACAGCTGGACACAGAGGACTGGGCTAAAGCTTTGGCTTGCACTGCAACAAACACGTGAACAGCCTAGCACAGACAACGATCTTTGTCTTGAACATACGCTAAAACACCTTAATGGGGGTCAATCTAGACAAAGCCTTTGGGGAAGCTGGGGCTCAGAAATTCAGAACCACTCTGTTGAAATCACACAAGACAGACTTTCCTATTAAGTTTAAATCCTGAAGAGTGTAATACTCACTCCCAGAAATAAAGGAATTCATATGGCCTGCCACCCTCACTGCCTTTCCTGGAACACTTATCTTATTTGCACTCTGTGCTCGGTGAAAGGGTCCCATGTACTCAGACCCAGCTGAGTACTGGCAGCCTGGGCGCTGCCCACAAAGCCATCTCTGACACAGGTTGCAGAGGCAGTTTTGCATTAAGAGCTGGCTCACATTTGCGCAAATGTACCGTAATTACAGCGACAGAGAAGCCCAGTCCAGCAGCAGTGCCATGCACGCGGTGATACTCCTCCTCCTCCCCCCACCACTACTTCAATGTATACAAAACACAAACACCTAGATATCAAACGTTTGCTTACCAACAGTTCTACAAAGGCCACGGGAGTCCCTTAATAAGAAAAGGCTAAAAAGCCCCATCAGAAGGGCACTTTATTCTACAAAGCCTGTTGTTTTCAAGTCTTTAGTAGAAGATATATTCTAATAAAGATGAGAAAGAACCAAAGTGAAAGGGAGTTCATTAAACAGTGGCGCTTGTCCAGCTGACAGGGTTTTGAAAAGCCTTTCAGGGGGGTGTTGTTGCTGTAATAGGAACATAATAGGAAGTTCCTGAACTTTGAAAAAGTCCAGAGCTACTCGTAGACAGGTTTTATGTCCTTTTCCCTTTATTAACTGTGATAGCCTAATGCAAACATAGGAAGTATTTAACTCTCTACAAGCTTCACTGAGATTGCTGCTAATTGGGCAATGCAAGTATGCTTGGAGAAAAGGAGCAAGTGCTCATGACGGTCTGGCTCGCTGAGCTCAAAGAGGGCTTCTTGCTGTGGTATTGCCTCTTGGGTTTACGATGGGCTCAGCTATTTATTGTACATGAATATAAATGTCTTTGAGGTACAACTTCAGTTGCCTGTATCAGCAAAAATACTGTAACCCACTTCTGTCATTTGCTTTCCAGGAAATGACCCAGTCATGGCCACCTCTTCTGACAGATATTCCTACTCCTCCTACTGCAGAGCCTTCCAAATTTCCATTACCAACAAAGGTAAACACCCTCTTTTTGCCAAGGCTTTTGATAAATTAGAAGAGAGCTTTCCAACTCTTGCACGTGCTTTCATCTGATGAGCTTTCCAACTCTTGCACCTCCTTTCATAGGTAAAGGCTTTTAGGAGAAATTATCTTTAGAAGTCACAATGGATTTTGAATTGTGTGATGGTTACTTGCCATGCATCACTTCTGTCCGTGCTAAGCTACATCAGGCAAGCTTAGACTATTGGAGACTTCGGAGTTATTCTTTGTCACGTTGCTCAAAGTATCGATTACAGTAACAAACACAAGGAAATCGGATCACTGATACGGTGCTATTGAGAGATGATGTATTTGATTCTCAATTTGCACCTTGTGCTTTCTTTCTAGGAGTCGCAGCCTGTTGGATGTGTAGCACAGAACCAGAGTAAGTAGAAATCCAAAGGAAAGCACACTGTTCTATGTGTGTTGACAGATGGTTTTGAGTGTCATACATTGAGAACATCAAATGCTTACCTTGATTAAGGGACGTGGTTTCCTGTGCTTTGTTAAACATTGATGAGTTTAGAAAATGCTGAAGAGACTGTATGCATTCCTTACCTAGAAATTAAGGCAGCAGTTCAGCAGAGAACAAACAGTATTTCATTTGGAAGCCCCATTTGGAGTGATAAATAATCTCAATGGCAATCAGTTACGTCCTGGAAGAAAGTGACTTTCTAATCTGATGCTCAGAGACCATAGGGTAAAATACGCTACCGGTGAGGCAGATAAACCCCACTGATTCTCTTTTGATTTACAGGACAGTACGATGGACCTTCGGATACGTTGCCTCGTTCTCAGACAACAGTATCGTAAGTTACCAGACTCAGTTGCCATCTCTTGGTTGAGATTGTAGAGTCTTGCACTCAAGCTCTGTAAGGTCTGTAAAACTCAACCCTTTTTGTGCTGTTCTGACATTCTGCAGAGGAGCCTCCCCTGGCTGGTAGCGTGGGATAGTGTCTTCCTGAGTAGTTAGCTGCTGCTTTAATCCATTCTTTCTTTTGCTGCTCCTTCTTCCACCCCAGCTTTCTCCTCCTGAATGACTTCTGGGACTTTTCTTTGCACTGTTAAACGCACTAGTTTCAACTGCTGCAGGCTCTGCCTTCCTCCATAGACAATATTTTTCAGCTCTTCTCAGCTGCCTGTAAAAATCCCTTTTGAGCCTGAGTCAGTTTTCCAGGCAGCAGAGAGAGAAGAGACTTTTACTGTAGACAAGAATCTGAAAATACGCCTTTCTTAGCGCAGAGGTCCAGAATTGTAACTTTGGCATGGTACGTACCTCTGTCCTTCGCCAACATCCCCTCTCTGCTCAGCGTCCGTGCGGGCTCTTCAGAGCCAGTGTACCCACAGTCAGCAAAGACAGCTGAAGTGGGAGGAAGAGGGTGGCTTAGGCTAATGTCCAAAATGGAGTCAAGAAAGATTTCCCCAGGGACTTCCTCTGCACCTTTCCCTTGAACCGATGCATCCCTTCCTCTTTGTTTTTCTGTTTTCACTCGCACAACAGGGCTTGCTTTCTTTGCTGTTTAAAGCACACGTGACTGAAAATCCAGCTGCCTGGAGTAGCTTGCCTTACCAAGTGTAGCTGGCTGAAAACAAACAGCGCTTGTGCTGCTTAATTAGAAGCAGCCCTGAAATCCCAGGGCGCTCGTGTGCCCAAATGAAGCATTCGGCTTAATACCTTTTCAAAGGAGGTTATACATGGGTTTACCGGAGACCCGGGTCCCCTTTGGGGGTTTTTTTTTCCCCCCTCTCCCCGGGGAAAAATGTTTAAAAAGATTCTAATTTATGCTTCCAGAAATTTTGGTAAACCCGTCCCATGGGGTTTGGGTTTTCAAATTAGAGTTTTCCAAACCTGCTCTCTTTTGTAAAAAAAAGGAACATTTTTTCAAAGTCTCTTTGTTTTGGGGTAAATACCCAGGGGGGCACTAAAATTCCCCCTTTAAATGGTTTAATTGTTGAAAAACAAAAATTCCTAGGGAAAGGTACCCTTTTAAAATTCAATTTAAAACCCGGAGCAAGGGGTTAATGGGTTTTAGGGAAAAGAGGGCTTTGGAAGAAAACCCAAAAATCTCTTCCTAAAGACCCCCTTGGGGAAAAATTTTTGGTTTCTTTAAGTGGTGGTAAGGCCTGAAGTCAAGGGTAGGAAACCCTTTTCAAAAGTCGTTTTAATAATTTTCCCTTTAGCTTTTCCAAACAGGGGCCTGTGCGATGGGAAAATTTATAAGGTTTCTCCTTTTTCCTCAAAAACAGTTTCTTACATCCCCTTGGTCCTAAGGTACAGCTTTCCTTGGCCCGAACGTTTCAAATGGAGGAACTCTGAACCTGGGGCAGGACTTAGGACTTTTGTCCCTTAGTAAGAAATTAAAGGGCCCCAAATTGGTTTTTTTTTTAAAATTTCCCTTTT